AGTTTGATCCTTTGAGTGAGAATCTTTAGGAAACTTATTTCTGCTTTTCAGCATAAATACTTCATGCAGATTTTCACATTGCTAAGTAATCCATAGACCATGAATATTTTATTATGACCTTCTCTCTCAAATATTAGGTGTATCAACAATGTCATTCTATCTGTTTACATGTTATGTTCATTTGCATTCACAGATGAGACCATTTGTTKTTTAGAAATAAATTCCCAGGGATCATTTCAAACCACTCCATTGGTGTTTCCTTGCATTTTAGAATGTTAGAGTGGAAGCACACTTTCAAAAACATGGTTCTAAGCACTGCTATTTTCTTTCAAAATGCACAAGTTTTCTTATGTGTGAGATCCCTTAGGTGCAGAAATTATTTTAAATAACCTTCTGTGAACTTGTAATGATAGGAAATGATAATCATTATAATAATAAAAAAGAACATGAAAGAAAAAAAAAGCCTTCCATTTTAAAGCAATCTAATAAAATTTATAGTATTTAATACTTTCTCATCTTATTTCAACAAATTTCATTCAACATATATTACTTTCAGTAYAATAATATGTACACTCCAATGACTATATAAGTCATGACTAATGAGTTGAATTTCTGCAATGTTTGTAACATATTTTAAAATCTCTGCATATTAAATGTCTGAGACTGAAGAACTTTATGTGATTTAAAACAGTTTTTGAAAGGTCTTGAGTCATTTACATTTGTGATAGATGCTAATGGCCACCCAAGTCCCTTTAATCTACAGTGTTGTGTCACACAAATCAGAATTTTAGCACTTTTAAACATGTTGCTTTAAAAAACAGAAATAACGGATGAAACACTTTGTTAAATAACATTTAATGAGAGAGAGAGAGAAATATGTGTACTAAGGGAAGAAATCTTAGTATAAATCATAATCAATTTTCTCATTTGAAAATGTAAGCCATAGATAAATCCTTCAGATGAGAGTGTGTGTGTGGAGAGTGGAGGAAGGCATAGGGATGTGTTTTTTCCCCACAGGTGGCAAAGTAATATGGTGCAGGAAATCACTTAAAATAACTGTTGTCAGTCTGCTTATAAAAAGTATAATTTTATAGCCATAATTAGTATCCAGTGTTTGTCTTCCGCTAAAAACTAGATAATCCACAAATATGAAATTGAGCTCTTTCTATATTTGTTCCACCTTAGATACAAAATACTCAGACACTTTTGCTCTTATTCAACAGATAATGCATTACCATTACTCTGAAAGCCTATGGGTAGTTTCACTGAATCTTTGCACTGATCTCAACTTCTTTTGAAGACATCCTATTGAAATGGTCCTCAAGCAGAGTGAATAATAAAATATTAAAAATTTCTCAGGTATTGTTGCTTTCTTCAATCAATAGGTTCAAATAAAGTTTTAAAAAAAAACAAACCAGATAAAGAAAGGCAATACTTGAAAACCASAATGAAACTGTTGCAGAAATAAAAACCTTACACGGGGTAGTTATGGAAGAGTAAAAGTCATGCAATCAGAAGATTATTACAAATTAAATTGAATGAACTTGGTGAGAGATTCTCCCGCCTTTTTCTTTTTTCCTCCATTAGACAGAAAGTTTTAAAAATATTATTGAAGAGTAACCAAGGTCCATTCTACTTCTTAGAAATACTGATATTCAAGCTCCTAGACATACCTATGTGGAAATTAAAGACCCAGCTACTGCCTATGCAAATAGATGGGCAWAAAATTTGAAACAAATATTGCAGGTAATAAGATAATAAAGTATGTAATACCTTTCACCAGATGAAACACTCCTTAGGGTATTTTTTAATGAGTTTGTCTAAATATATTAATGCTAAAATGTTTTTATCTGCACCTCTTTATGGTGTTTGAATACATAAGATAATTAAAAAAAGTTCTAAAACTAAACTAGTTYTTCTCTATCTTTGCTTAGAAGAAGCAAAAGATTTATTTACAGGGGGATGCTAGAGAAGATCTGCACACATAACAAAGGAAAACAGACATGAAAGTACACTCAGACATGACATCACAAAWGCTAACACAGAAAATATGAAGTGAAAAATTTAGTTTCATATGAGAAGCCCTAATTATGCTTCCCTTTCATCCTCTTCCCTGAAGAYGTCACAAAGTTATTATTGTTTATCTTCTATCTGTGTTTTAGAGAACTTTAAAGACTAAAGCAGTTAAACCTCTAGCTAGATGATTTCTCAGAAATAATTTAATTCATATCAATACTCTTACTTGTAAGCACCCCAACTCAGAAGAACACTTTCATATATATTTTTATCATGCTTAAGCATAATTTGACACACATCACAGGATCACAGAATCGCAGAATGAGCTGAGTTAGAAGGGACCCACAAGGATCATCAAGTGCAGGGTGGAACCACCCCCAAGAGTCACACCAAATGCCCGAGAATATTATCAGTCTTGGATAATAGAGCTAAAAACAAAGACTTTGTCAAATCCAAATGAGTGTTTATGCCAACTATGTTCATAAAAGGAATATTACTCTCTGTTCTCAGAAATCTGAATAAAATCAAAGTAAATAGCCTCTATTTCTCCAACCCATGACTACTTTTGTGATCCCTCAATCTGTGCCTGCAGTGCTGTAATRCAGCTGAAGACCCTGTATCAGACAGATCTCCCCAGTGACTTTCAGAGGCAGAGGCATTGTAAGAAGCATTTTTCTCAACATTTCTCATTGAYTTTTCTCAGAGCACATGGATCATCCATCAAATGTGCTTGTCAGAGCCACAGTGCGACAAATGCCCTGAAACTTTTGCTTAAATTTAAGTATGTTGTCAATCTTACTACTTTCAATATAGTTATACATGCTCTGAGACATATTAATTCAACATTTTAACAGACAAGGRACCCTGGAGAGATGATCATAAACACAATATTTTCTTTAAATTCACTGCAGATATATAAATGCAGTATGAGAATGTCCTGAAAATAGTCCATAAACCTTCTATGAGAACTGCAGATTTAAAACAGATAATAAGTTCAGAAAAAAAAAATGATTCTGAGGAAAATTGAGCCATTATTCAAACTGCGGGGGAGGAATAGTGGTATTCTACAGTACAGGGTTTGTGTTTACCAGTAACATGATTAGGCAAAGTTTATTCAAGTACTTCATACATATTTCTTTGAATGCATTTAGTTACAGCCATAGTTTGATTTCCTGGACTGCAGACCTAAAAATCAAACTGGAAAATATGAATTTACAGAAAATTTTCTTTGTTTTTTTCTTCTTACTCAACTATTCTATTGATCATACAAATGCCTTTGTTTTTGACTTACTCATATAAAGACTCCATATTTCCAGCAAAATATATAACCAGAAAAGTAACACTGAGCAGTTCACCATCTGTCTTGCTTCAAATGARTACTACAGCACATAAATCAGTTAGATAACAATTAAATTGGCATGTGCATATATTCAAATAAACACATTTATAACAAAAACCAGTTATCTACACCATGACCAAAATATTTTACCCTTGTGTCTATTCTTTATAAAGTCACCCAGGTACMTGAAGTAGGATTATTTGATTTGTAATTTAACATTAATTCATAATGTAACATTAATTTGTGACTGACCAGGGTTATAACCTCACTCTTTTTATGCAAGACAAAAGAGGATCCTTGGTGATCTGACTTGCAAAATGCAAGTTTCTTACTGCAGTGCTTGAGTATCTTCGAATTTGAGTTTTTTGCATTAATGTGAAAGAGTCCATCAAGGTCTAATAGTGACCATAAAATGGAAAAKTAGAAATGGAAAATTAGACTGTAAGTTTAATGACAAAACAATGACCAAAGGAAGAAACAAATATTTACCCATCATAACACCTGATTCTTCCATCAGCCAGATCACCTGCTAGTCTTCCTGTCTACACTAAATCTGACCGAGAAATGGAATTAACTTTTCAAAATTTTTATAAGAAAATCTTCTGAGTTATTGCTTAGTGCTTATGATGTTTCAATTTTCTTTAGTTCTCCTAGAGATAATTGTAATGTTGCTTTTAATGTTTGAGCTAAGCTGTATTTTTTCAATAAAAARCAGAGAAGATTAAAATGGAAAAGAAGTTTCCAACCTGAAAGTGATTTTACTCCGTTTATTTAAATTTTATTTCTCTCTCAGAACCCATCCAAACCCTTTTCATATTCAAGAAAGACATACTYAACTTGGCTTATTTCTCAAAAATAATAGCTTCTCCACCTGCAYAATAGCAACAGATCTGAGCTATGTTTTGTCAGTGTGACAGCACTAAATGGTATTATAACAGTAAAAAC